CTCCTTTTAGATCTAACAGTCTTTCCTTCAAATATTTGGGTGCTCCTGTGTTAGGCACATAGATATTTATAAGAATTATATTTTCTTGATCTATTGATCCTTTTACTACAATATAGTGCCCTTCTTTGTCTCTTTGAACAGTTTTTGTTTTAAAGTCTATTTTGTAAGAAATTAGTATCGCAACTCCAGCTCTTTTTTGGTTCCCATTTGCATGGAAAAACTTTTTTCAACCCTTCACTTTCAGTCTATGTATGTCTTTATCGATGAGGTGAGTTTCCTGTAGGCAACAGATAGGGGGCCTCTGTTTTTTTATCCATTCAGCCAGTCTCTTGATTGGAGAATTTAATCCATTCACATTCAGTGTTATTATTGATGTAACTGGATCTGTTCCAACTTTTAAGTTGGCCATTGTTACAGCAGCCTTTTATTCATTTGTTTGTGTCTGTTAGCTCTTTTGTTTTCCTGGAACAGTAGTTTCTTCAGGGTTTCTTGAAGAGCTTGTGTGGTGCTGGCAAATTCTTTCAGGTCTTGTTTGTCTGAGAAGTTTGTAATCTTTCTTTCCCATATGAAGGATAATCTTGCAGGATACAATAATCTTGGTTGAAATTGTTTCTCTCTTAGCACTTTGAATATATCTTCCCATTCTTTCCTTGCTTGCATTGTTTCTGTTGAGAGGTCCAGTGTTAGCCTGATGGTATGACTTTTGTACGTCACTTCCCGTTTCTCTCTTGCCAGTTTTAGTATCATGTCTTTATCTGTGGTCTTGGATAGTCTGTCTTAGATGCACCTTGGGGAAGATCTTCTGGGGTTGATTCTAACTGGGGTCCTTTGTATTTCTCGGGTATGGATGGTTGAGTGTCTCTCTAGGCTTGGGAAATTTTCTTCCAGGATTTCAGGGAATAGATTTTTCATGCTGTTATTAGTTTCTTCACCTTCTGGGATGCCAATTATTCTGTTATTTGGGTGTTTTATGGAGTGTAGTATTTCTCGTATAGTATCCTCGTGGTTTTTTTTTTTTGTTGTTGTTGTTATTTTCTCTATCTTTTTGGTGTTTGTTTTTCCTAGGGCAGAGGTTTTATCTTCTACATCAGAGATTCGATCTTCAGCATGGTCTAATCGACTTCTAATACTTTCAAGGGAGTTTTTGATTTCATATATTCCAGACTTTATCTCTAATAGCTCCATCTGGTTCTTTTTCAGAGTGTCCATTTCTTCTTTCATATCTTGAAATGACTTTCTCATCTCCTGTAGTTCGTTGTCTCTTTTCTGTTCCATCTCGAAGAATTTGGTCACCAAAAAATGTTTGAAATCCTTCGTCTGACATTTTGGTAACATCTTCCATTAGCAGGAAAGATGGAGGGGAGTTACTCTATAACTTTGATGGAAGTATATTTCCTTGCTTATTCATACCTGAGGCTCTTCTACTTCTAGTCATTGGAAGATGTACTAACTTTTAAGTACCTCTTAGGAGAATGTTTCACTGGCTAGGAGTGTTTCTCTTTTGTTGCAAATTGATGTCTGCTGAAGTCTCTGTTCTGTTGTTTTTATTAATGTGGTCTCAAAAAAGATACTATATTCAGGTGTCTGAAGAGCAGTATCTCCTTTTTCACAGCTTGTTCCATACAAGGGAGAAACCCATAGAACCTTATATGACTAGAAAATTTCAGATCTCTGATTCTAGACCTAGCTAGTCACTCTGGCAAGATGGAAGAAGAGAAAGAGAAGATAATATAAGGGAAAAGAAAAGAGTAGAGAGGGGAATAAAGAAAAAGTTGCATGCTGCACGTTAGCGCAGCATGCGATTTCGCCAGATGCCTTCAGATGTACCTGGCTGTTGACTGCTACAGCCAAAGGGGCAGTCTGTGGGGAGAAGGAGAGGAGGAAATTTACAAAAGAATGGAGGACAGTAAAGAAAAAGAAAATGGAGAAACTGACTACTTGCCTATGGGTCTGGGTGGATTCTGGACTCAGGGGTCTGGAGGTGAGACGGTGGGGGCAGTGTTGCCCCCGCCTCTGTGAGGAAATTTACAAAAGAATGGAGGACAGTAAAGAAAAAGAAAATGGAGAAACTGACTACTTGCCTATGGGTCTGGGTGGATTCTGGACTCAGGGGTCTGGAGGTGAGACGGTGGGGGCAGTGTTGCCCCAGCCTCTGTGTCCCTTGCTGCCCAGATGCCTTCAGATGTACCTGGCTGCTGGCTGCTCAATGTTGGTTATTTCTAAGACTCCTAGTCTAAGGTATTTTGTTATATCAGCCCAAATAGACTTAACATGGAGTTAGATCTCTGTATTTTGATATGGAGTAAAGTGCAGAATAGTGTATATAAAATGTGCTCATATATAAATAAACAAAACATAAACATAAACCCTAATGTATATGTGAAATTAGCGTAAACATTATTTTCTGGAGGCACACTCTAGCACTGATGTGCTTTGATTTTCTTTTTAATAACATACTTCTGTTGGTTTTATTAAACTAATTAAAATTCTGATGGCATATATAAAAAAATTTAAGAAAAAGAAATGTAGGGGGGACCAGCAGATGGCATAATGGTTCCATTGCTGCACTCCCACATAGTTGACCATGGTTCAAGTCTTGAACCTGGTGGCTTAAAACTCAGGCCAGGTACCGATGTGTGTGCCCAAGATTCCGAGAGGAGAATGAAGAGAAGGGATTAAGGTATAGCCATTCCTCCTGGTGGGGTGATTTCTTGTTTTCTGTCTGTCTCTCCAGTGAGTGAGCGTACCTTATAGTAGAAATCTCTCTCTCTCTCAAAAAAAAAAAAAGAAAAAAGAAAAAGGGAAGGAAGGAATGTAGCTTGGAGATAAGCCTCAAATGGATAAGGTAATGCAATTTGTAAAAATTTTAGGGTTTATAAAAACATCCTCAGGCTAGCTGGTGGCATGGTGGTTAAGGTGGCTGGATATCACATGACTGACAGCACAGTTCAAGTCATGGTTGCAGCAGCATGAAAAATACACTGGGCATATATGTAAAAGGAGGGAGAAATGGAGGCTAAGGGATTGCAGCATGACTATTCTCCATGAGGAGTGTTTTCTAATTTTCTCTTTATCTCTCTCTGGTGAATGTGGGGGAAAAAAAAAGATTTTGATCCACAACCATGCTTAATATAGTCATGACTGATTAAGTTATATACCCCTTTTCTTTTTGCCTTTTTTTTTCCTTTAGTTTGCTATAGGTTGCGTGTGCTCATGTATGCAAAAGAAAGAGAGGAAGCGAGAAAGCAGCCCCCGTTGGCTGTGTTGCAATCCTATTCTCCTCCTCCATTTTCCTTTTGAGACTTTGGGCATGTACACATAGATGCCCAGCATGATCTTTCAAGTTTCTGGGTCTGAGACTCAAACTGTGAAGTCAGCCACATGGTATCCAGCTGCCTTAACCACTACACCACATGGCTGGCTCTCTTTTCTCTTTAATATAAAATAAATTGGTTGCATTACCAAGAGTTCAAACTAGATTCAATAGTAGGTATTTGATGATAAATTATTACTGTTACCTCCGATTATCCATAAATGAATTATACTTTGTAAGTTTTCCTTGGTGATTCAACTGGCTATTTTCCTTGTAGGCAGATCATAGTCTATGAATAGTGATGTGGGAAGAGAACAATCAGGCACAATGGGAGTGAATATATAGTTTTGACTGTTTTCTGAAGACATAAATCTTTTTCTTTTAAGGTTTTTGCCGTAGGCAAGTGTGCTTGCCAGAGACAATGAGAGGGAAAATGAGAAAGCACCTTTTGGGGGGATGGCCACACCATAATCCCATCTCCTTTATTCTCTTCCTGATATCCTTGGCTTGCTTGCACATGCACCTGGCAGAAGTTTCAAGTTGCCAGGTCCAGGACTCAAACTGTGCTCAACCATTTGGGAATCTAGTGCCTTAACCACTATGCCACCTGCTGCCCCCAATATAAGTCTGTTTGTTCAACAAATAGCAACCAAGAACTTCATATTCCTTAACTTTGTTGGATCTTATCTCTATTCCTGAATATGAGTATCCTCACCTCTGTCTCAACTGGGTTGGAATAATGTATCATTTTGTCTGTTGCCATATACCAATTTATTAGTTAATCATATTAATATATTATTGCAAAGCATTAATAAAGATCATGTGATCTTTTGCAGTTTTTCAAAATGGAATAGCCGTGTTGATTATCAACTATTTTTGGTACTAAACCTGTTTGCTTACTAAAAAACAAAGATGGTTTGGAGAGGGTACAAAGCCATTCATTAGTGTTTACTCTTTCTCTCTCTCTCTCTCTTTTTTTTTTTTTTTTTTCTGGAGAGGTTTTTGCTATAGGGCACTTGCCATAGAGACAGAAAGATAGAAAGTGAGAAATCTTGCAATCCCATGTGCCCAGCATGAGTTTAAACCACCAGGTCCGGGACTCGAACTGCAGTTAACTACATGAGAGTCCAGCGACATAGCCATTACGCCAACTACTGGTCCCAGTGTTTACTCTTGCCCTCCAATTTTTGAATGTTAATTGAGGAAACCAGAATTAAGTACTAACCAAATACCCCATCCCTTGTAGCACTTGATTTTTTTAGATAACATTTGTGTGTCTGAACTGATTCGTACATTGTTTTTGGGAATCAAGGACTTTGATGTTTCACAAGTGTGTTAATTTTGTTTTAAAATAAATACGAATTTGACCTAGTTCATAGTGATATAGTTTAAATTAATTTTATATTCCATCACTCCACACAGTGTTCCTCAACCTTGTTCTTTATTATTTTTTTCATTACAGTGCCAAATGACTTTGTCTTTTTTTTCTTTGTAGATTTATGGTGGATTATTTTCTGAAGATAAGTGTTGGTACAGATGCAAAGTACTGAAAATCATCAATGATGAAAAGGCAGGAAATAAATGTTTGTTTGTTTTTGCCTCAAGGAATATTTTTATTCTGCTTCTAAAATTTGATGCTTATTTAGCCCCTTATTAGTTATTCACAGTAGTAATTAGATCTAGTTCAGTGAACTTATAAATTGATTAAAAGACACATTTTCCCCCTTGGGGAATGTGTACGAAATTCATTGCTTAAAAACAAATAAGATACAGGTATATTCCTCTGAATTTAGGTTGTTAAGCAATCACCCCAGATTATCCAAAACCAGATTATATTATTTTTGGAGATTATTTTTGGTTATAGTTGGTTCTGTGCATCTCAGTTCTTAATTATGTTTGATTCTTGCTAAAGAGTAACTTAAGAGTTCATTCTATAAGAGCGATGAACAGGAAAAGAACATTTCATTGATTCTGTAGTTGGGTGTATCTTTTACTTCGTTCTGAATGTTGTTAATAATAAACATTGACTTTGCACTTTCTCATGTCTGAGTTAAATATGATGACTTTTCTTTGTGTTAATCTATTTTTGTTTTTATGAGAGAAGAGAAAGTGTATATGTGCTGCACATACATGTGCAAGTGAAGGAAGTAGAGAGAGAGAGGTAATTTTTGACAGGGTCTTGTTATGTTGCAGTTCTTCCTGCCCTCGCCTCCCAGTCACCTATGAGCACAGGTACCCATCACTGTACCTGGCTTGTTCAGGTTGGCCTGGGAACTAAACCCAGTATCCCATATGGCGTTACCCATTGCACAGTGGTGCCTGCTTGCTCACACTACCAATTGGGCCAAGCTATTTTATTTTTTGGCATTGTGATGCAGAAGATTTTTATGGGGATTTGAGGAGATGGGATTTTGTTTGGTGACTACTGTACATTGCAGGCTGTATAAAAAGTACAAGATTCTCGGGGTCAGCAGGTGGCATAGTGGTTAAAGATGCTGGACTGCCAGCTGGTCTACTGTGATTGAAGTCCCAGTCCTAGGCACAGTGGCTTGAAACTCACAATGGGTGTGTACGTGTGTGTGTGTGTGCGCACATGTGTGTACTCAAAAATCCTGAGAGGGGAATGGAGGAGAAGAGATAACAGCATAGCCATCCCCCCAGTGGGTGATTTCTTGCTTTCTGTCTCTCAGGCAAGTGCATGTGCCCTATAGCAAGAAAAAAAAAGTATAGAATAATTCCCCCCCCCCCGCCCCAGTGTTATTAATTTCTATGGCACCTATAGGATTTTTTAAATGTTTTTTTGCACATCTGTTTTCTGCACTTAAAACATCTATAGGTTTTGTAAATATTTTCCTTGGTGCAATGAAACTATTTGATTAATGTCCTAAATAGCTTTTTATTTAATTTAAAATTTCTTAAGTTATTAATGCCATAGGTAATGTTTATCTTAGTGAAACAGGTCTTTCTAAAAGACCTTTTATTTAACAACTGTAGACAGTATTTTGAATTTGGTTTTAATTGGTTGGATTTAACTTTTCTTTTAAAAAACATAGTTATTTATTTTTTTTGAGAGTTTTTTTTTTTTTTTTTTTTTTTTTTTTTTTTCTGTAGGGCACATGCGCTTTCCAGAAAGACAGAGAGAGACAGAGAGCTAGAAAGCAAGAAATGCCCCCCACCCCCACCAAGGGGGATGACCATGCCTCAATCCCTTCTCCTCTCTTCTCCTCTCGGGATCTTGGGCACGCACACACACGTATCCAGTGTGAGTTTTAGCCACCGGGTCTGAGACTCGAACCATGGTCAGTTACATGGGAGTTCAGCAACATAGCCATTATGCTAACTGCTGGTCCCAATATTTATTTATTTATTTATCCATTTATTTGTTGTGATTTTTCAAGCCACTGGGTCTGAGACTTGAACTGTGGTCAGCCATGTGGGAATCCAGCACCTTAACCACCCTGCCACCTGCTGGCCTCAGCTTTAACTTGTTAAAGTAAGAAGTGTCATGACATTTGACTTTGTAATAAATATTCTTTTTTAAATTTCACTTCTTGTAAAGAGATAGAGCTGTAGGTAAGGGTGAATGTGGTTAGTGTCCATTGTCTAGCTGGAGTGTATTGATTTTATTAAAGGAAGTTTGATAACCTTGCCTTTCTTTTCAGAATTTGTTTCCAACTTGAACATAAGAATGTTAATTGATTTTAACATTAGGAGAGAGAGTAGAACCAGAGCTTCATAGACTATATTTATTTAAAATACCAAGGTTCCCCCTCCCCCCCTCCCCAGAGATTTTTGCTATAGGGTGCTTGTGTTCCCTGGAGAGACAGAGAGAGACAGTAAGTGAGAAATCATTCCCTGGAGGGATGGCTACATCACATTCTCTTCTCTCATAATTTTGGACATGCACACACATGCACCCAGTGTGAGTTTTAAGCTACCGGGTCCAGGACTTGGATAGTGGTCAGCCACATGGGAGTCTAGCGTCTTAACTATTACGCCACCTGCTGTCCCTAAAATACCCACTTTTTTTTTTTTTTTTTTTAAAGCAAAATGAGAAATGGCATTTTGGAATTTAGCTAGTACCAAATATAGAAATCACTGTTGTTTTATGGATTTTTTTTCTAAAAATTTGAAGATATTACTAGAACTCTCTTTCTGAATGCATTTTGACAATTTGAGGGAAGATGCTATCTTTATTTATAGGTAATTAACAGGAAGCATCAAATTGGTTTCCTGAGAGGTAATCTAGCTTTAATATTAATATTCACCTCCTTTTTTTCCAGTGTTTGGTGAGGTACATTGATTATGGAAATACTGAAATTCTAAGTCGATCTGATATAGTTGAAATTCCTTTGGAGCTGCAATTTTCTAGTGTTGCAAAAAAATACAGACTTTGGGGATTACAAATTCCTTCTGGCCAAGAAGTTACCCAGTTTGATCAGGCAAGTCACATATTTTAAATATTTTTGTTAATGAAAATAAAACTTATATGTGTGAAACAAAACATAAGTGTTGCTAAATCTCACTAACTTTGTTAAGTATAAAAAGACTATTTAAATCAGTGAATAATATGTGTTTGAAAATAATTCAAAAGCAGTTATACATTTTAGCTCATGTTTGCTAGGGATACATTTTTGATGAACAAGTAAGACTGAAGTTTTTTTTTTCTTGATGTGACAACTTAAAAGGATAGTTTCTTCAATGATGGAGAAAATGAATATGCTTATTCCGTATTATTTGTTTTTGATAAAACATTTATAAAATAAAAGTAATCTTTTGCCTAGCCCTAGCCATAAATATCACAAATTCAAAATTATTAGTGGGATTATAACTAATCAGACTTCATCATTTTGACAAAGGCTTACACTGTTTGATATAGTAATTGGCAGTGATGCTCTGCTAATCTACAGTTTAAATTGATTTCCGTTGAATTTTGGGTTAGTGACCAAATTCTGGAAGGCATCTGATTCTTTCCTAACAAAGAATCCTTTCAAGGAATCCTATCTTTTCCAAAACGTGGGCAATAATGATGTTTCTTTTGGTGAGTGGTAGTACTGGCGTGGGACATTACATTGCCAAGTAGTAATCAGGTTTGTAATTGTTTCATTTAGCACTTTAGGTGGCTTATATAAAAAATGGTTTTAATCAGTATTATAAGAAACAGTAATTAAAATTTGGAAACCTTGTCTTTGCCTCTTTGTTTGCCTTGAGAAACTTGGTGTCTTGGTATAATTTTGTCTGCACTACAGTTATTTAAATATTCTAACCACATGGGTGAGCCTTGCAGAACATTGTGTTACTGTTGTGCCACTGTTTGATACTCTCTCAAATATATTTTAGATGCAAACATGTTTGGAATTAGAAGGGCCAGCAGGTGGTATGGTGATTGGGGTGCTAGATTCCCACATTGCTGAATATGGTTCAAATCTCAAACCTGGTGGTTTGACTTCACACCCTCTCTCACTCTACCCTCACCTCTGGGCAAATTTAATAAAAAAAGTAAAAAAGTAAAATAAGTAATTTTATATATATATATTTATATATATATAGTTATATATATACAATTATATATATAATATATATGTTTGTATATTTTATATATATTTTTTATTTTATATATATATACACACAGGACCAACATAGACGACCATGATTTGAGTCCTGGACCCAGTGGTTTAAACTCACTCTGGGCATGTGTGCGTGTGTGCCCAAAAATCCTGAGAGGAGATTGGAGGAGAAGGGGTTGGAGTGTGGCCATCCCCTCTGGGGAGGCATTTCTTGCTTTCTGTCTCTGTCTCTCTGGAGAGTGCTCACACCCTACAGCAAAAAGCTCTCTCAAAAAAAATATATATGTGTATATATATGCCACAGATGGATTATCAATAATTAAAAGCAAGAACCTAATTTCTCATATGCCAGTTGCACAGATGTGACCATTTTAAAATTTTGCCTATAAGAAAGTATTGAATATTTGAATTTCTGATTTCTCACATTTCGTAATTTCAATTCGGTGATCTTTAAGAATTTTGGTAATGTTTTGAGTTTTTTGTTCTGTTTTGTTCCAGTTCTTGTCGAACTTCTTTTTTCCCAGAGAGATTTTTGCTATAGGGTATATGGGTTTGCTGAAGAGACAGAGAGAAAGCAAGTAAATCCCTCCCCGGGCGGGGGGGGTGGTGGTGGTGGCCATGCCACAATCCCTTCTTCTCCATTTTCCTCTCAGCATCTTGGGCACGCATGCACATGTGCCTGGTGTGAGTTTGAAACCACTGGGTCTGGGACTCGAACCATGGTCGACTATGCAGGAGTTCAGTGATGTAACCATTATGTCATCTGCTGGTCCCTCTTGTCTGACTTTAAAACCAGAGTACCTAACCCTCCCTTTAAAACTACTTTTAAGTTTTGTTTTAATTGAGTATCTTTTTTTAGATAGGAGAAATTCATTTTTATGTGCTATAGCCGTTTAGGTCACCATTATTTTGCTTTGGGTCAAAATAGTCAACATAATTTTCTAGGTTTAAAAAAATTATTTTAGCATATTTAGTAAGTATACCTTTTACAGTTTATATCAATAAATATGACTGCCTGTAATAGATGTTAGCTCTGCTTCTGGGAAGGAAGATTTTTAGCAACTGTGTAATTGGAATACATTCATATACACACAGAAGTATGCTTGTGTACAGCCAATAACAACGAGGTAAAGATTTCTTACGTAGAGATTGTAGAATGAAGAAATACGCTTGGAGAAAAGTAGAAACAAACTAAGTAAATGTTGGTGTCGTTGGTTTATGTATTTTTTTCCCTCTATTTTTCTTAGGGCAGAACCTTTTTGGGGAGCTTGATTTTTGAAAAGGAAATAAAAATAAGAATTAAAGCAACCAATCAAGATGGAACAGTTATTGCTCAGGCGGAGTATGGCAGTGTGGATATAGGGGAAGAGGTGGCTAAGAAAGGATTTGCAGAAAAATGCAAACTCACTTCTAGCACTAACATCTCTGAGGAAAAAAAACTGGATCCTGGTCAGCTTGTTCTCAGGAACCTCAAAAGCCCTATTCCCTCTTGGGGCCACAGGTCAAAGCAGTCACCCTTCAGCAAGCCTAAGGGACGCTTAAGTGGGAAGCTGACTCTTGACTTGAAGAATGAAAATGATGCAAGAAATCATGTGACATTTCCCAAGTAAGACTGTGGCTTTTGTTTTTTTAAACCAATTTGTAATTCATGATAGAGGCCCTTGTCGTAGTAGGATAGGCGTATGGCTTATGCTTTTGGAATCCTTAACTGGTTGGACATTGTGAGAGAGGATACTGATTATTTCTGTTTTTCTTAGATGTGTTTTCTTCTCTGCTTTAGTAGTAATAGTTTCATTAAAAGCCATTTGAAAGAAAAATGTTTTCTAAATTTTTTAAAGTTCACATACCAACTTTTTTTGTCAACAATTTTGAAAGCATTTACCCAAAATTAAAACCTACTCCTAAATCTGAATTCTTCAGGCAAAGCCAGAATTTCTAATAATACTTGAAGTTTTTTCTGTGGCTTAAGAATATTTTAATGGGTTTCAGAGACTTGCCTTTTTCTTTTGTTTTTTTTTTTTGAGAGATTTTTGCTATAGGGTGCATGTGCTTGCCATAGAGAAAGAGGCAGACAGCAACAGAAAGTGAGGACTCACCCCCCAGGACGATGGCTGTGTAGCAGTCCTGCTCCTCTATTCTACTCTCGGAATCATGGGCATACATGTACACACACCCCGTGTGAATTTTAAGCTGCTGGGTCCGGAACTTGAACTGCGGTTGACTACGTGGGAGTCTAGCAGTGTAACCATTACGCCATCTACTGATACTCCTGTTTTTTAAAAAGAGAGATTTTTGCTATAGGGTGTATGTGCTTGCCAGAAAGAGCTAGAAAGAAAGAGAGAAGTCCCCCTGAGTAAGGATGGGTGGCCATGCTGCAATCCCTTCTTGTCATTCTCCTCTTGGGATTTTGGGCATACATGCACATGTGCCCATGTGAGTTTGAAGCCACCAGGTCTGGAACTTGAACCATGGTCAGCCATGTGGGAGTCCAGCAACGTAACCATTATGCCATTTGCTGGTCTTACATTTTCCTTTTTAACAGAAGAAGTTCTGTTTTCTTGTGAAATCTTGTGATGGAATTTGATTGTCCAAAAGTAGTTCCCTTTTTAGATAATTTTGATTTTTTAACTTGAAGCAGAAAGCTAGACTTGATACTTACTTATGACAAAAGCATTCTTCTGTATCATGATCCAAGCTATGATGCCATGTCTTGGATGATGTAACTGTTCAATGGGACTACACTGTGAAATGTGGTAGAGGGTAATGGGGAGGAGGGATTAGAAGAACCTGATGCAGATATGTTTTTTACTTTGTTCTCTGAAGTTGATAGTGTCATGAGAATGTTGGAATATATTTTCTTTTTGAGTGTTGTAGTCATTGTTTTTGATGAATGACTTGAGTTATAAAATCTAGTTTATAGTAAACTATTATTTAATATTGAACTAGGTAAAGGTTTTAACTTCTACAATAAACTTTAAAATAAATTACAATGTTAAAAGTCAAAGATGATTTAGATTTGTGATCTTTGTCAGCCTTATGTATTTACTTTTTAAAGTGAATATTGTTTTCAATAGGGAAAGTTTGGCTGTTGGTGACTTCAATTTAGGATCTAATGTAAGCCTGGCAAAAATTAAACAGGACCAGAAACTCATTGAAGAAAATGAAAAGCTTAAAACAGAGAAGGAAGTTCTTCTTGAAAGTTATAAGGCATTAGAATTAAAAGTAGAACAGACTGCCCAGGAGCTGCAGGTATATTCAATGGTTTAAAGTAAAAAAAAAAAATGTCCAAATGAGAAACCTTTGTACTCATCTGTTTTTATTTAATTTTCCATCACTTTCTTTTCCTTTCATTTTCCCTTCCCTTTCTTACCCTCCCTTCTCTCTTTGTATTTCCTTATATTTGCTTGATGATGAATCACCATATAAAATTTTTCATTAACCCTTCACTTACTACTTTAATAGCCATTGATGATTGTTATCTACTGCCGGGGTCCAACCTCGGCGGGGGTGGGTTGACTCGTTGGAGGTGGTGCAGGTGAACAGAAACAAAAATTATAATAAGACCTCAATGCCTCTTAGCATGTTCTCAGCCGGCCACAGCCAGAGCTAGCTCCAGGCTGCTGCACTAGTGGCTGTCAAACACACATATTTATTGAGGGATGTCTTACAGGAGTAGGAGGGGTGAGGGGGAAATAAAAGATTTACTCTACGAAACAGGGAATTCAAGGCACAGAAACAATAATCATAAAACATGATGTCTGTCTTGTTTGATTAGGTATAATCAATTACAGTTCTCAGGATGAAGGAGTCTGTTTGGTGCATTTTCTTTCTTCTTAAATCTTGATTACCGGACAGGGCCTTTTCAGGTGAGAGGGTCTTGTAGCTCAGGAGACAACACAGGGTGTTTTATTAGCAGTTTTTCATAGTTAACAGTGCACAAGGGAGAAACTGTAATTAGGTACTATCTGTTGCTTGCCTCAAACCAGATAACTTTCAGCTAAGATAGTTACTCTCCCCCTTGGAGCCTTCAGGTTTGTTTATCCTGTCATTGTTAGCCAGATCTGTCCTTCCTCTATTAACCCACAGGTCCCTGTATTTATTTGCTGAATTCTTTGTCTGTTAATCAGTGAATTCTTGTG